GAGAGCTGAGCAGAGTGATGAGAGACATTGCTGGGTGGGGCTTCGGGTTCATTTGAGACAGAAGACAACTTACAAGAATTAACGCGCACCATGCTCTCCTTATCTCTGGAATTTCTTTACTCCAGGTGTGGGCCCAGAGAAGTGGGCAGCTGCATGTCTTCAGGGCTGGAATTTTGTTAGATGAATACAAGATAAGGAGGGAAGGACAGGAAGTTTAAAATGATGGACCTTGAAATCCAAGCTGAATGGGGAGCCCAGCGTGGTGGCCATGTCTGTAATCCCAGCACTTGAAAGGCAGAGGCAGGAGGATCATTGTGAGTTTGAGACCAGCCTGGGCTACAAAGTGAGCTCAAGGCCAGCTTGAACTGCATAGTGAGACCCTGTCTCAAAAAGGAAAAAAAAAAAATCAAAAAATCAAGATGGATGGGGAAGAAAATGAAGGAGAATTTACAGATTTCCAGTAATGAATTAACTCATCCAGCAGCTGAGTGTGGTTGCGCATGCCTATATAATCCCAGCACTCAGGAGGCTGAGGCAGGAGGATCTTTTTGAGTTCGAGACCAGCTTGGGCTACAAAGTGAGCTCAAGTCCAGCCTGAACTGCATAGCGAGACCCTATCTCAAAAAGAAGAAAAACGAATTAGCTCATCCATTAATTATTAAACCAGTATTTCTGAGTACTTACGTACGATGTGAAAGGAATTGGTTGGCAGCCTAAGGGAGTATCTAAGACAGATCCAGCTAATACTTTCAAAGACTTTAAAATTGAAAGTGGGGACAGATGTCAAATAATCCTTCGCATAAAATGTTATTGACTGACCATTGTGGTAGCGCTGCGACAGGGATAAAGTAGAAAGCGAGGCTGTGTGAGCAGTGGAGTGAGAACTGGAAGGACAGAATGTCCTGTGGAAATGCAGTGGGTGCCCCAGCGCGGGGGAGCAGAGGTCTTGGCAAGGACGGGTAAGAACGCAACAGCGGGGAGTGCAGCAGGCGTCTTTAGGTTGCCCCTCGGACACTGAGTGGGATGGGACGTTTATGTGAGGCTGCCGGTACGGTGTCACGTGCCATGGTCGGACCCATCCCTGTGGATACTGAAGCCCAGAACCATAGCAGGATTTGGGAAGAAAGCGATAAGCCAGGGGCGGAGGAAGGGCAAGGGGTGCTGTCCCTGGTGATGTCAGGGACCTCAAGTTAGTGCCTGAAAGCATGTAAATTATGAGCCACAAGGCAGATCCAGGAATCAGATCCTATTTTTCTGAGTTCAAGACTGAAGTTATACCTACTAGCTTTACTCAGCTTTGAGAGCAGCTTTCCGCAGAATGAAAAGCAATGAAGTCAAATTTTAGGATAAGGAAGAACGACTATGATAAAAATTTTGCCCCCGTGAGAGAAGAAAAAAGAAAAAGGAATCAGTGATGGGTTGCTGCCATTGCAGCGATGGATAGCCTGGCACGGGGGAAGTGTCAGAGGATCTACCTTCCATTGTGCAAGGTTTTATATTATTCAGTCTTTTTACTGTGTGTATTTATTCCCTATTGAAAAACAAAGGAAACTGATTGCACGATGTTAATTGGGCTATCTGGCATTCAACAAATATTTACTGAATAAAATTAGCACACAGAATGTGTTTTTGGCATTTGGAGATACTTGAAAATTCCTGATTAGTATAGAAATGGTTTCCTTTGTGTACATTTTCCTTTTATAACTTGTTTGGAACTAGACTCTTGCTACAGATTGCAAAATCCACTCGGCCTGAAGAAGGACACTCGTTCGTAAGACACAGTGCTCAAACACGCTGTGTGAATGAGTGAGGCTGTATGAGGCTCTTCCTGACATGCGCTTCCATAGAAGGGGCTGGGTGTGGGTAGGGCCAGTTCCACATTTTAAATAAGGTAGTAAATTACTGATAAAACGATTTAAGGGAAGCCACTTTACTCCTTTCCTTGTCATTTAGAAAACAAGAGAAGAGATTCTGCCTTCTTTTGAGTTTTTAAAAAATAATCTAAATGCCCATTATACTTTCATCTGAGACACTGTAAGGAGGACAGAAATGGAGCTATCCTCGCACAGATAGCTCTGAAAAAGCACCAACACTCACACCCTCAGCGCATGCGTGAGTGGCTGGGTTCCGTGGCCCTGCTTGCCTGCCCATTTTGTACACATGTCACTCGCATAAAGAAGCATATTTTATTTAGGTGTCTTCATGAAGTCCTCTAGGGAGTCTCAGGACATGTTAGAGCCTCTGACAACCCGACCCAGTTGTACACAGAGTGAGCTCATATCAAGCAGGAACTGTTAAACTGGAGGGGAGAATTCTGAGCCCCCGGCCCGCAGGCTCTCTCCCATGGCTGAGGGGGTGGAGGAACAGGACTGATCTTCTTGGCCTCACTCGGCTAAACTCAAGGCTGTATTTCACTGTGGCATTTGGTACAAAGTATATTAACAATTTGTGGTGTCCTGTCTTCACAGCAGCTTCCTGCTGTGTCTGGAGGCCTCCCCTGGAGGCCTCCCCCCGAGACCGACCTCCATTTTACCCAAACCAAGAGGTAACTAGATGTCTATGCCAACAGAGCCCACACGGCTTTACTAATGACTACAAAACACGTGTTTATTCTCTTAAGAATGGGCTATAGCTTGTCACATGCATGGCTTTAGAATTGCTGAGACGACACAGTAGTGACAAAGGTGGAAGTCATCTGCCTTTAGCTGTAAAAAAAGGAGGCAGAGGCAGACAGGCTTATGTCCCATAGTCTCATCACAGAAGGCTTTATTTTGCTAGATTTTCCCTTGAGAATAATTGCACATTTTCTCAACAGGAGTGACAGAAAAGCAAAAAGAAAGACTGCAGGAATGATTTTTAAATGACATTTATAAACACCAAAGTGCTATTCTGGAGGATGGAAAGTTGAGGACCGAGGGACAGTTAAAAGTGGACAACTGACATTCCTACAGATAATACACTAAAGTTAAAGAGCCTACTTGATACAACCTGCTTGGGGTCAGGGAACAAGATTTGATTGATTTTTCAGCCGTCTCCCCATATCTAACATGATTTCTAGGTTTGCAAAGTGAATGTTTTACAAATTTTAGTCAGACAAACATTATTTCAATTGTATCCTATGTTCAGCAATTCTAAAACTGAGCAATCTGAGACCGCAAATGAAATCTCTGGGTTAGTCTTCAATCTTTGGGTTAGTTAGGGTTAGTTATAAGTATCTAGAAATACTAGGCAGCGGTAGTAAGGGAATTTTAGTCACTGAAAAGTAAAGTTTAAAAGGAATCAGAAAACATACTATACTATACCTGGATTTTACACCACATTTATTACCAGGGGATCTAGTAGCTGAAATTAAATTTATGTTAACAAATGTAAACAGCAGACATGCTTTTAAAGGGCAATTTAAATGAAATGACAAATAGTAATGATCATTTACTATGGGTCAGTCGCACCTTAATACTATCAATGTTTCCAAGGATATTAGGTAAAACTAGAATATATTTTTTCTCAGAATTCCAATAAAAGGACTCCAGTGAGTCAGTTCTTGGAAAAAAACCTTACTGAGTACTGGAAAGGGGGTGGTATTCTAGGAGTATTTGTGGTGTTAAAAGGAAAGAAGATACTGATTAAAATAAAATGGGAGGAAATATAAGCAAGTACTGCATTGATTCCCAGTGGGAATACTGCAGGAATGGTGTCCTGGGCTCACTGGATTTTGGGGTTTCAGCTTCATAAATGTGTTTCTCACACCCTTGGCTAGTTTCAGATGGTCATTTAATACGTTTCCTCTTGATACCTGAAGACTGTTATTTGCATTGGTCTTATTTAACCCGATTACCAATTATTGTAGAGTAAAGAAAGATGTGGATTCAGTAAGGTAAGGAACAGCCCAGCCAGCTTCATGCCCAGAGTTATCAAACCTGGTGTTCAGAATCTCCTTCCTTAAGTCTAGCTCTTCGTTTAAAGCGGGAAGAGATTGATAAGGAAGGTATTCACCCACCCCCAAGACTGACACACTGTTAGCCTGCTACTTAGGGTCCTGTTGAGAAATTTGTGAACAATTGGGAAAGTTTAGTGACCACCGATCAGGTGTGAAATTTAGCACCCAGTATTTGGCTCTTAGTGGGAGAGGATTAACATGGAACTCAATTTCCATGTGTGGAGAAGGAAAACTATGCCCTTTACTCTATTCAGCAACCCCAGTGCACATGCAGTAAAATGCAGTAAGGCCCTTACTCAACAAAGTTAACATCCTCTCTCTTTCCTTCCCTTGCCATCTTGATATACTTCCACTTTAGCAGTGTGCGCGCGCGTGCGTGTGTGTGTGTGTGTGTGTGTGTGTGTGTAAATAGCTTTCCTAAAAACCTGGGGTTTTGCTGAATGTGTGCTCTTCATTTTTTTTTATGTCCTTTTGAGACAGGGTCTCACTATGCAGTTCAGGCTGGCCTTGAGCTCACTTTGTAGCCCAGGCTGGTCTTCAACTCACAAAGATCCTGCTGCCTCAGCCTCCCGAGTGCTGGGATTACAGGGGTGCCCCACAATGCCCAGCTTTAATTTTATGTTATACTGCTCTCATGTAAACATATCACGTCTGTTCTGTCCCAACACAATGCAGATGCTCAGCAAATGTTAACTGACTTGGATCTTCTTCTAATAATAGCAGCATTGGGAAACCCAGGCAAAGAATGAGCTGTTTTTGCTAACACAACTCTTTAAATCTCAGACCATAGCTAAACGGTCTGCTAATTACCCCCTGGGTGCTAGGCTTTCACTGGGGCCTTCTAAAATACACAGAACTAAAGTGAAGGCAGGACGTCATTAACACTACATAATTCAAGCAAACAATCAATGTGTTTACCCTGCCTGGCTACTGACCACCTGTCCTCCTCCCCCACCAGGCAGGTATCTATATATAGGATGCCCTGTTCACAGTCCTGCAGAGTGAGCCTCTCCTTTGGGCCTCACCATCTGTGAACCCGAAGGAAGTGTTGTCCTCTGACAGCATGCATCTCCTCTTACTTCACATGCTCGTGCTTCTACCTCTGGGGAAGGCCAGCTGGCGCCTGGAGGGCCGCCAGAATCAGAGTGCCCTTTCCCTGGTGCTCCTAGAAAGGAGTCGCAGGGAGCTCCCCACGGCCAACTATGAGGAATCTGAGGACAAGCCAGATCTGTTTGTTGCAGTGCCACACCTAGCAGGCACCAGCCTAGCAGAAGAAGACCGGAGGCAGAGAGAGAAGACGCTGTCCAGGTTTGGCAGGTTCTGGAAGAAGCCTGAGAGAGAGTTGCATCCGCTCAGGGACTTGGAAAGCGGGCACTTCCCACTTGCAACCCAAGCGCTCCCAGTGAATGGGATGAAAGTGGAGAAATCTCCTCTCTGGGAAGAAGCCAAGAAATTCTGGCACCACTTTATGTTCAGAAAGGGTCCAGCTTCTCAGGGTGTCGTCTTGCCCATCAAAAGCCATGAAGTGCATCGGGAGACCTGCAGGACAGTGCCCTTCAGCCAGGTATGTGTCAAGGGGCAGCATGGGTAAGGGTGTGTAAGAGCAGGGCAGCTGGGACAGGTGGAGGGGAGGGGAATAGGCTGTTGGGAGACCGAGTCTCTCCTACTTCCACACTCGGTCCTTGGGTATGCGTCTCAGGTTTGGCAGAGCATGAACATATTCCCTAGATTTCCTCCTCATCTCTCCATCGTTGCTTGGCATGCTGGAGATGATACAAGAATAGTACGCTGCTATGGTCAGTATCAGTAATCGTAGTGATGGGATAGGGCTTTGTGTTATTTGTTTATTTTATAGTGGGAGTATACGACTATCTCCTCAGTTAGAAAACTGGAAATTTAAGACAATCACCACTCTGTAGCTATTTTTCTGCACTTGTGAGGTTGTGTCTGCGTGGGTCCACTTCATTTGTAGGTAGGGGAGATACACTGCACTCTCCCCACACACCTGCACTCTGGTTGTGATGCTTTTAATCCCTATATTTTACATCTAGTTACTTCATAAGTTTATGAAGTCTTCTTTAATAGCTGTCAAAGTTATTTAACTTTTAGAAAATTACCCTACAACTTCAAAGTATGTCGAGACTCTCAGCCCAAAATTGCCATATTATTTCTAGTATTATGATGGCAAAAATGATTTAGTTTAACTAATTTTCTCATGAAGTTTTTGAAAAATAATCTTGATGTGACGTCATATCTCCTCACTTTCCTATTTTTTGATTTGTGTTATTTCGGTTGCTGCATCATTATCATGACCAAAACCATATTACTTACTAAGACAAAGGAACTTTCTACTATCTAATTCCTGTAGTCCTGGGAACTGTCACACTGCAAACGTTAAACTGAAACTGACAAAATGCATCAAGTCCTTCAACCTGAACACAGTGACAAAAATAAGGCAAGGCAGAGTAAGACTGTACAGTCTAGTACCAGGACCCACTGAAGTAGGCAGCATTTTAAGGGGGTTAACTGTGCAAGGCAATTAAGTCTTCTTTCTGAGAGGCCGAGGGCATGAAACGGTGGCAAGCCAATTATCAAATAACAAGGACTGTTTTGTTGGACCACAAGCAATTAGAAAACTGCTTTTAAAAATAAATAAATTTCCTTTGAAATTTTTATTTTGAATGTGACTGCTTATTAAATAAAAGTTAAGATGTTTGACTCTTATTTTGAAAAGCGCAGAAAGCTAGGTGTATGGGGTTAGGACAGAGGCAAAGATGATGTCCTATGCACATGCACTGGAATCCTGCCGCATGCAACTCCAGAGGTTTGAACACACTGGAGGCCCTGCAGAATCAGGCAGAATTAAACTCATGGTGTTCCGGTCTACTGTATGATCAACTGAACAAATATGCACTGAGTACTTGCAGTGTACAGTACACACAAAGAAAGGAAAGTCAAGTCGCGGTACTTATGTGATTGCCATTGCAATTTTTCCAGTTGCTTATATCCAGCTAGACAAAACATTTTAATTTGGTATTTGTAATGCAAACTATTTTTTGTGTTAACTTGATGATTTCCTAAAAGTTAATTCCTAAGTTTAATAAATTAAACTTAGTTGAGGAGGCTTCATGCCCTAAGAGATACCATCACTCGGATATTGCAAATATATCCAAAGTTGGAAAGGTTTGGAAATTTTACTGGAAATTTTATCCTGACAAACACACTACAGCTTCTGCATCATTCGTATTAGGGGAATGACTCAATAACATAATGGAAATGTGTTTGCCTTTTAGACTATCACCCATGAGGACTGTGAGAAAGTTGTTGTCCAGAACAACCTTTGCTTTGGGAAGTGCGGGTCTGTGCATTTTCCCGGAGCTGCGCCGCGCCCCCACGCCTTCGGCTCCCACTGCGCCCCCGCCAAGTTCACCACGCTGCGCTTGCAGCTGAACTGCACCAGTCCCGCCCCTGTGGTGAAGGTAGTGATGCAGGTGGAAGAATGCCAATGCAAGGCGAAGACGGAACGTGGTCACGGACACCTCCTACCCTCGGGGTCCCAGGAGTCCTTCATCCCAGACGTTTCAACTTAAAAAGCGATTCCGTTATTGTCTCTGAAAGGCAGAGTCACAATAGCAAACATGATGGTTATTTGGTCTGAAGATGTTAAGTGGATAAGTAATGTTCAAAGGAAAGGTGGTCTAAAAGATGGCGCACTCCGGAGGGAATGGTACTCCTCTAGCTACTGGCCTCAGTTTGGGATCTAGTCTTGGCTCTGCGACTAACTGGTTGTAGAATGCTAATGAGTTCTAAAAGTTTTTCCCTCTGAAAGTTGTTTTTTTTTTGTTTGTTTTAATCTGTAAGTGAGGAACTTGACTCAGGTGATTGCTAAAGTTCTCTACACTAAAGTCCATGATCTAGTTTCTCTAAATTTTGGTAGAAGCTCTCTATCTGAAAAAGAACACAGACCATAAAAAAACAAACTTTTTAATAGTTTATCAAATTATCAGCAAGGAAAAAGAGAAAAGTGGAGTATTCTCAAAATGGATCCTTCATAGTTGCACCTGCCTCTGTGACTCGGGAAATGCTTTGACCTGTGTGTGTGTGTGTGTGTGTGTGTGTGTGAGAGAGAGAGAGAGAGAGAGAGAGAGAGAGAGGGAGGGAGAGAGACAGAGAGAGACAGAGACAGAGACAGAGAGAGAGACAGAGACAGAGAGAGAAAGAGAAAGAGAGAGGGAGACAGAGACGGAAGGAGAGGGAGAGAGACAGAGACAGATAGATCCTGGGGCTTAAATCCTGAGCTATGTCCCCACATAGTGTTTTGTTTGTTTGTTTGTTTTTTGAGACAGAGTCTTGCTTGCTAAGTCTCTAAGTTGCTCAGACTGGGCTGGAACTTGTGAGTCACTGGCCTCAACCTCCCCAGAGTGCTGGGATTACGGGCATGTGCCCCTGTGCCCAGCTGTATTTTGGCTTCTCTCAGGGGATTTTTTTCATAAATGTGAGAAGTAATTGACTTGGTTGCCTTTTTTCCTTCTGGCACTCCCCGTATGAAGTTCTTAATGTCAGGTCTTTGGCTTTGAAGGAAGCACACTGGTGCTTCTTTTAGCGGTTCCCACAGCAAAGAGAAACATTCAGTGGTGGCCAAACAAGCATTTATATTCTGAGGAAGGGAAAATATACGACCAGCACCAAATTTAAAGCTCACCCCCGAGATCTAATGAAAATAACCAAGAAATTCAGTAGAGGTCAAATTAAATAAATTGTGAATGATTTACAGTGGAAATGATTTACAGGTGAAATACTTTATCCATCTGCCTTTTGAATTAGGTAGTAAGTAAGATTTCTGTTCTCGGATGACTGTTTCTACTGTTGTATAAAATTTCTGACAAATTTTATTTGGAAAATGCCACAAGTTCTGAAAATATGAATCTTTAAATGTATTAAATGTTAGTATATGCAACATTCTAGGAAGTATTGTGGCATGTAAATGTCTTATATTTTGCCCTTATTTGCTTTGCCTGTCTCAAGCAAAGAGTACTTTGGGGAGATTAGTTACAAGCATTTTGAAATGTCTTCATGGGCTTGTGACACTGGCCCATGTGTTTCTTTGACTTTACAAACAGCCTTCTGTTTAAGTCTTTCAATCACTGACATTTAGTAATTGCCTCTCCCCTGCCTGCATTTATTTGTGTGCATAGATCATGCAGAATTGACTTTCCCCAGCCAGATTACTTTTTTGTAACAATTCTTTGAAGATTCATCGTAATAAATTACTTGATTTGGATCTTTTAATTTCAGTACATACAAACACACACACACACACACACACACACACACACAAATGTTTCCAAGAGTAATGACTAATTATTTTTAAAGAAATTAATTTATATTTTAATTCTATTCCTCTTTAATTATGCCACCTAACATGATGTCCTGAAAAGCAAATGCATTTATGTTTAGTGTACATTATGCAACACATCAATATAATATGAGCTACATAGATACATATGGGGCATTTACAACGCAATATATTATACCCTTTGGTGGTCAAAGACAACTTAATTGGCCAAGATGTGGTCATAAGGATAAAATTGTTAAGCATTAATGATATCCCAGCTGGTCAATATATTTTGGTGCCAAAAGCTATTGAGCAGCTGTCTAGTTTGCAACTGCCTAACTCTGATTATGTAAACTATCTCTGCCAATTGAAATGTCCTATTCCTCTTTACATCCTTGCAAACCCCTTTTATCTGTACTTGCAAATAGACTGTCAAGACCAAGCTCCAAACAATTATCATTTATTCGAACTCTGATCTACCCTTCCCTCCCATGTAAATTCCAGATGGATTCACCAGTAGTGATGTCAGAGATTACATTCATGGAGTAACCACATGAACTTCATGAAATTAGCCATTTACAATCGTTTTTATTTGCAAAGAAGGCAATTTCAGTGTAATTTGTGAGAGGAAATACACAAGTACTGAACGTCTATTAAGTGCCAGATATTATACCTTGTCATGTATAAACAGTACATGATCTAATCCTTGCTAACGGTGTATGAGGTCGGCAGTCAGTCTGCTTTACAGGTGAGGAAGACAAGACTTTAAAAATTTAAAAACTTGCTTAAAAGCATATGAAGCGTATTTTCTATGTGTTTAAAAAATGTTTGCTCATTTATTTTCCATCAGTTTAGATGTAAATTCCCCGGGTCTCTGTGGAATTTATAGGCCTCAGAGCTAATATTTTTTTAACCTCTCACTTAGCAGTCAAATCTGAAGTGCAGCGATGTCATTATCTCTTGAAAGAAAACCATTCCTAGGTCAGTTTCAGGCAGACATTGCCCTGACTTGATTGGTCCATGAAGCAAGCCCTTTCCTAAATATTGGTCTCAGTTTCCTGTCATAAAAATTAGGTTGATAATAATTACCTCAAAATTATTATGATGCTCAAGGATGGATAACAGCTCTTCAGAGAGTTTTTGATCCCATAATACCATAAGGGGTTAATTTATTCTTCTTCATTTGGACTTTCTTTTTTAAAATTTATTTTTAGAAATGTAAAAGACAAAAGGATACTTTAGACAAGCGCACAAATCTCCATCACCAGAATAGATGATATTTTACCATCTTTTGAATTTAGTCTATTGTTAAAAGAAATAAGCTATTTCGATGTATATTCCTTCTGACCACCATACTGAGTGTTCTGTCTCGAACCCTTGCCCAGTCTATAGCCCACTCCCTGAAGATTTTTATTTATACTTTCAATCCTTTATTATATTTTTGCAAAATTATATGTGCATCCATAAGCAGTACACAATATTGTTTTTATACGCACCATTTTTCAGCAGCTATTTATGCGTCCACCAGCTGTGTGCAAGATTCAGCTCTGGATGCTGCGCGTGCAACCAGGGAACCCGGTCAGACAGGACCCAGCTTCTGTGCAGCTTCCACCCCAGTGTCGGGCTGCGTCAGTCAGTCAGCCGGAAGGAGAAGGCATCAGATGGCTGCAAGTGGTAGGCAGAGAATTCAAATAGGAAAGTAGGACAGCGATTGATTACCTTAGCCGGAGTGGCCTCTGGGAAGCTGACCTTAAAGCTGTGCACTTTCAGTTACCTGCGTGAATGTTCTGCAATGGCTTTTATTTTTTTTCTCCCACAGAGACTCTGGGTTGTCCTTACAAGCATTTATGGAGGTTTTTCTTGTACATCTTATCTGTATTCTAGAAACTTATTAAATATTTCCTACAGAGAATAGTGAACCTAGCATTGACAATTTATTTTTTCAGTGCACACATTTTTCTTTTCTCTTTTAGTATTCAACGACACCTGTTTATTTCTCACACACACTCATCCCTAGCTGTTCTCTCTCTGTCCCCCATTACTCTGGGACTCACCCGCTGCACTAGAGCGTCACTTCCTGCAATCAGATGGTCTTCCTGTCTGAGACACAGAGAGGAATATGGCAAGCAGTTTCTTAAAGAGTTTCCTAGAAGCAGCACAGAAGGGCTTTTGTCATATTTAGTTGGCCAGAGCAAATTATATGTCAAACGTGATTGCAATGGGGTTTTAAATTCTAGTTCTCTACCAAGGAGGGATACATAATTTCTTTAAATTGTCAATTGAATTCCTATTTTAAAATTTCAATTATTCTCTGAATTTTTAGAAAATTCATTGTATGTAAGACATTGTGCTAGTAACATTTAGATATTCAAAGTTAAATAAGACACATGTCATGCCACCCCAAGTCTTATAAAGTAGTATTAGAGATAATATATGCAAATTATAAGGCAATAACAATAGCAGTAATAATAACAGCTACAATTATGGAAACTTTATTATGTTTTGAGGTGCTTTAGGTCCTTCTCTCCTAAGAGGACACATTTTATACTGCCTCTCCCTCTCCTCCTCTCTCCCAGGATACTGACAATCATTCACTCAGACCACAGTGTTTAGGTGTGACTGTCGTGTACCAGTTACTGTGCTGGGTACAAAGATAAGAATAAATTGATAACTGTCTGAATATAATCCCTATACTTAGAAGCCTGCCATCCAGGAACAAGTAATCACATGGCTTTGCTTCCCATTTATTGTTCCGTATAAAGTAGGATGATGAACCGCCTACGACATCCTGCTTCCCAAACTCAAACACCACTTTCCCATGGAGACTTCTTAACCCCAGCAAAGCCGTGTTCACCTCCTACATAATTTCTAGGTACTGCATACCTTTACTTTATAGCACCCACTTCAGTTCACAATTAAAATTTTATGTGTGTCATCACTGATCAAATTGTAAACTCCATAAGAGCAGAGATCATACTGAATTTTCTTTCACCATTATCATTAATGCCTAGTAATACTTAAATAAATATTTTTCATTTGCATGTAAAAACCAATATCAATAAATATCATACTAAGTATGCATCATGTGTCCCTGACATATTGGGCTAAGAACTAGATATACATTATCTCATTTAATCTTCATAAAAACATATGAAGGAATACCATACAGTTTTATAGATGAAGATGGTAAAGCTCATAAAAATAACTTTCCCAAAGTGTCACTGTTAAAGAGTAACAGAAACTAAATGACTCTAAATATATAATATGCATA